TAACTTGACCCACGCCTGATTGACTACGATTTTGGATTTCGATTGTGAATTGTTGGCTGTTAACTTGTACAGTATATATCTTTTGTAAATAATTTTGGCAAGTTGAGGGATGTAGGGGGTTCAACGCCATTTTATTTTGAAATCTCTTTTCACATTGTTTTTGGTTTAGGGAGTCGGGTAAGTTGAAACTGTATTTTTGTTTTCTTTAATTTTGATTTAGGAAGTGAGTGTTAAAAATATTTTTTGTTATTTTGGCCTTGTCTGCCCCTGACGCTAAACCGTTATTTGTAAATAAATTCTTATTATTCAACATCTCTCTGGTATTGAGAATCTTTTCCTTTTCCTGTTACGGCTGACCCCTAGCGGTCGTAACATTGTTTATAAAACATTCGTCACCGAAATGCCAGGAACAAACAAACACACTTGCACATCTCCGTTGCTGCATCCACTGTTCCCTTAACGCTGGGTTCTTTGGGAAGTTGAACAAGGTTATCTTTCCCTCACACCCAAAAACACACTTCTTTAGTGACATTGTTGATTTTGTGGTCTAAAAACAAAATGACAAATCCTTCTCGAGCAAGTCTTGGGTCTTGTGCAGTGCTGCCAACGACTTCCGTAACCCGAATGAAGCACATTGATGGGCTGCTCTTGCTCTCGCTCTGCGGAGCGTTTCCCAAAAGCATTGTTAGCTAACTATGGTGTTAAGTTCCATTGAACTTTATTGGTAACAATTAACCTTATTTGCTTTTGGGAAATGCACCCCTGGTTGATGTGTGTGCGCACTCTTCTGGGAGAAGTGCCCATACAAGGAATTTCACCTTTTATGACGTCTTACAGGGCTATACTCGAAAAAAAAAAAACTATATGAACCCTGAAGGAGTGTATTTGTCACAGAAATACTTTGTCATAAGTTCAACTCATTAAAAAAAAAAAAAAACTTTTGATGCAGGAAATGGCATTAGACCTCCCCTATAACTATTACTTAATAATTAATATATACCATTTAAGCCCACCGGCAGTTTATAGTTGTCATTTTCCTTTTGTAAGTATTTTTCTAGATGTTATCCATGTTTTATTTATCAATGACATGCAAGAAAACAACCAAATAAAGGATTTCAAGAGAAAAAAAAGCTATTCACTTCCTTCCTGTCACATGAGGCTGTCAAGTTCCTACCCCTACTTCCAGGAAGCATGGCGAAGGCAAACCCTCCCAAAGAAATGTAATTTTCATGTTACTAATTTTTTGTTGACATTTATATATCTACATAATCATGGAGGTCTCTAGAATCATCCAAACAAAACAAATCTTCCAGGAGATCTATAGTTTTTTGTATACTTAGTCAAAAGTCCAAG